AAACCTGCCCCACACTGCTCCAAGCATCAACAACGGCACCAGATAAGAGACCAACTAAAGATCCCTGCTGTCAGCACAATGTGAAAGACCGAAGGGGTTTGTCGGACTGCATATGTATTTTTTTTAAATAGTGCCCAACAGGTGGCTCCAAACTCTGCTAATTTAGGCCATCATGAACATTCAGCTGGGTCAAGGCTCTCCTGCCTGGTATAAGAGACCCTGCCTGAGAGTTCTTCTTCGGGGAAAGATAAACTCAGATTAGTCAATGCAGGCAAAACCTGGCCGCAGACGGCTGGATCATGACCTTTCTGACCCAGCATTGACCAACAGCAGCCTCCATGTCCAGAGCAGAGACCAACCCTACTGGCCTATTAGCGAAAAGCGCGCTGGCCCACTTTACAGAGGGCAGCCTGGAAACTCCTTCTGTCCTTCATTAATTCAGGCTTTTTCTCCTTCTTCCTTTCTGCCAGGGGCATTTCCCGTCAAAGACCTAAAATGGAACGGCTCGACATCTGCGGTGTTTCGATAACCGGGCCCCCGTGGCTGCCCCCGACGCGCCCGAGCCGATTCGATGAGCCGTGGCTGCCAGGCTCACCATGTGTCGCGCCTCGGAGGGACCCCTGGGTCGGATCTGGTGCCATCCTCGGGACACAGACCAGCGGGTTTCTCCCCGGCCCCAAGGTGAGACCTCAGGCTGACCCAGGCCACAGCTCGGCTCGCGATGACCCGATTCCGCCGTCTATCTGGTTTACCTACATAGTCACGGGCAGGATCAGCACGCCCAACCCCAGCCTGTGAGTCATGTGCAGTGTTTATGTTTCTTTTCCTCGTCTTTTGAAGCTGCAGAGTTTCTTGCAAGAGCCACAATGAGAATGACACACACAAGGGCAAAGGGCACACAATAACAGATGTTAGTCATTAAGTGACAGCTCCTTTGAACCGAATGCGTTACTGATGCCGCTCCAGGCTTCGTAGAGCTTTCCAGGCACTGACTGACACTCATGAGCAAAGAGTCAGAAAAAAAAATAATAATAACAGATTCCAACACATCACCGTCTTTTTGTCTTCCGCCTGCTTGGGCCCCAAACCTGAATGCCGCTCTGGCACCCCGAGCCCCATCAGCCTCACCAGACCTGCCGAACTTGGTCACATTAAACATTCACTGCCATCACATGCTTCCACGGTGTCATCAGCCGCATCTCTGCCCGCACTGACAAACTAATCCTAGAGAGACGGGGGGGGGGGGGGGGGGGGG